ACTGACTGCCAGAAAACCAGCTGCTCTTCACAGCTGGATTTAGTAAACTGAACCGTGTCAATGCTTTAGCTTTCGGTAGCACACAGATTTCTTGCCACCCACCCAGGACTCCCACCGCCTGCTTCCTGGCAGAGCGGCTGCTCTACCCCATGGTGGTTGTCTGAAAGTGCTGCCTGGTCGGTTGTGGTTTTAACTAAGTAAAATGTTATATCCTGAGGGAAAAAAGAAAAAAAAAACCCACAAACAACAAACTCTCTGTTGTAATATAGAACATATGGCCTCACAAGCACAGTACAATAAATACATCATGGTAACAAGATTTTGTGCATAGGACAGCCTTTGTCCATCAGTCTAATGTGCATTGCAAGCATAGAAAAAAAGCTTTATGCCTTTCTCAGAATGAGATCAATATCATTATTCCCGACACAAGGCAGGATGCAGAGACATATGGATAAGCCTGCGAGAAACATTTACAAAAAAGGTCAGGTCCACTCTAGCAGCAAAATGCTTCTTGTGTGAGCAAAGCCACATCAGCAAAACTCTGCTTTGTACCAACAGGGCAGAAACATCTTCTGCAGGAGAAACGAGCTGTACTGCGGAAAACACAGTTTTGCTGCTACAATCCTTTTCTGTGTACTCAAGGGATCCCTCTGGTCAGCTGGGTCAGTCCAGGTCTCACTCACTTCCTTTCTGCTTTTGACAAATGTGACAGTGCCAGCAGGATTGTACACAGCAGCTGCATCACTTGCCCTGGAAAGCCAAGGGCAAAGCCCACAATCGATCCCAGACCGCCTGACCCCCCGGCCTCTCCACTAGCCATGGTTATTACTCGGAGCAACATGGGCATCGCTAGGGAGACCATGAGTTGAAAGCATCTCTAGAAGATGAACATACACAGTTCTACTCCATCCCTGTTAGCAGTCTGCTTTGTCTTGGCCAGCCTCTCAGGCCCCAGCTGAATATCAGTTAATGGTCATGCTGGAATTTGTGTCAATTGATTTTCCAGTTAACTTGACTTAACATGATTGGATGCATTACAACAGAGAGGATATACTCATTGTTCCGGTTTGAGTCTTGTAGACCTCATATTCCATTTCAATGCAGCATCAAGTTTAGCTCCAATTAGAACAAACAGTTCCTTAAAATAAAGATTTAGCATAAAGATTCATCCAAGTCTTGATCCGAAGCCCATTGTGTTCAGGAGCTGTCCTCCCCACTGAAGGCAATAGGCTTTGGATCAGGGCCTGGAGGCAGCTTGCAATGTATAGGCAATTTAATAACGAGAGATGACTCACTATCAAACGTCGTCTGCTTTACAAAGGAGTCTCAGAAATGGAATATCTGTGTGACAGAAATAAACCACTATTCTCACACATGCGCGCACACACAAAAAGAGAGCTCATAAAAACTACATTATCACTTCACTTGGGAGACTTAACCCTCATCCAATGAACACTTACTCATGTAGGTAACTTTACTAACATGAGTAGCTCAGTAAAACCAAGTCTTGAAAAATGATTATGCCAAAGGGGTTTGAGGTCTTCATCAGCTTCCTGTCATTTCTGAGCATCTAAGAGTCCCAGCAGATCAGACACATTTATGTGCTGTCTGTCCTGAAATCCTAGTTGTGATCACAGAGAGCCTGGGCTGCGGCAGATCCCTGTGTCATGTAGCTGTACGATTTACACTACAGCTGTTTCCCACTTCTGCTCATGTACCACATGTCCAATGGGTTCCATGGATCCCATGCAAGCTTGTCTTCTAGGGGTGCTTTCCACCAGTGGCCTCCCTCATATGGGTCCTATTCTGGCATAGGCAAAAAATTCCTGGACAGAAATATGAGAGCCCCAGGGCAATGCTGTCCCTTTGGGACTTTGTGCTTCTTTCTCCCTTTCTATCTACCACCTTCACTCCTGGTCTTGAGTTACTGGCTTTCTAGGTTTGCTTGGTGTTTGCACCACTCCTAACACAACAGGTCCTGCTAGGATTCCCAGGAGCTACAAATAACAGTCAGCAGCTTTCATGAGGTAAGCTGGTACTTGAAAGGGATATCTAAGGGCCATAAATCCTTTTTAATGGCTAGACAAAGCTAGAAATGCTGAGCATTTCAGCTATAACCACAGAAGCCATTGCTCTTGGTAGCCTTTACATTCCCTGCAAGTGTTAATAGGTGGGATGCAGCACAGCTGCTAATAGAAAAATGATCCAATTTGGTAAGCCTTGCTTCGGTGTCAGAGTATTTTGAAGCTGAAACGAACAGATTGAAATGACCCCATGCTTTATAATGCAATGGTAAAACAAAGTAGGACTTTACAACTGAGGCCCTGGTGTCAGAACTTCATTTGATTTTCTCTGATGACTCAACCTATTTCACGAGCTATTTTCATATTCCTTATTTAGCAAACTTACTCATGTCTCGGTAAAAGCCTACGATGTGATAAAGCCAAGGAACCGTAATGTGTGGTACTGGTAACACCTCCCACGCCAAAAAAAATCCTACTTCCATATTTATGTGGCTCTGCAAATTGGTTCCTGCCTTTTTCTCCCCAGAGAGTGAGCTGGCAGCCTGTCTCCTCTCCAATTAACATGAAGCTGTGAAAAGTGGAGATGGAGGGTCAAATTCACCATGCTGGGAGCCTCACGTACTTTTACCACGTTACCAGCACATTTGGACCTTTGACTTCCCAGCAAGGCAAGTGTTGTTTTTAGCATACAAATAACAATGCCTGCAGAATACCTTGTTCATGCATGCTTTGTCTCCTGAAAAAAAGAAGCTCACCACCAGAAGGCAAGACACTAAGAAGAGCCACCTACCTGGTGTTGCTCAGAGACCAGGGATGGGCACCTCAGTATAAACTCCCCATGGAGCAGATGAATTTTACCTGGGTTTTACTGGTCAGGATGTAATATCTGACTTTTGGAAAGTCCTTATATCAGAGAAGCAGGAGAAGCTTTTGTATCCAGCATAGGCTGCAAATTACACCAGCAAACGTATGGACTAAAAGAACATGTAGGGACACTTAAGGACAACACCCACTCATCCACCCCCACCCCAGATCTCTTCACAATCTGATTTACAAACATGTAAAGACATGGTTAGATTTTTTTTTTTTGGCAGTTTTTTTGAAGAGTTTGTTTGTCTTGGAGGCAGAAAGGAAAGGCAGCCTGTGCAAAGCAGAGACGGGCTGAGCAACAGCGCTGACGCTTGCGACATGACTGCTCTTTGCAAGCAAGGATCAAAAGCTACGTGGCACAACCCCTTTTCTATTTCATGCCAGGATTTGAAACAGCTCCTGAGTGGCACCAAGGAGTCCAGGACAGAAGGGTACACTATCAGGAGTGTCAATGGAGAGAGGTGCTCAAGTCCCAGGGCAGCTCTGAACCAGCACTTCCATGGGCAGCAGAGCCTGCAAAATCCCCTTTTCTGTGACATTTCCTCTCATCTTCTTTGGATTCAGGTATCATAAGGGATAAGCTCTAATCAAAGTTTTGCCTAAGGATACGGTTCTGGCATCTTTCCCTCACTTACATTTTCTGGTGTCTGTAAGCATCCTGCTATAGCCTGCCCTTCGCCATTACAGCCACGTAGGTTTCTACTTTCCATCAGAACTTTGTTTTTGAGATCCCTGCTCCTCTACCATGCTTAGCTGGCAGATGGACACAGGCACATTGAACCAGACAGTTCAGCCCCCATCGCTGTCAGCCCTCATCCTCCAGCTCTGACATTACCCACACACCTGCCTGATCTGAACGTCCATCCCCAGGAGTGAGCTACCCAAAACCAAGCTCATCTGGGCTATGAAAGCCCCCTAAATCTTCCATCCTACCCAATCTGGTGAATTTGCTCAGCACACAAGCCACGAAATGCTGTCAGACCTGTTCCTTTCCCTAAGGATGGAAGCGACTGCTGTGTACTGGTGTCTGGAAGCAGAGAACCAGCTTTCCTGCCGTGCCCATGCAGGTTCAAACTCACATATCCTATCTCCCAGGTAGGTGTCATCCTGATTTGTCACACTCACCTTCACACATCGGTGCTTGGGTCCGCAGCTCCTGCCTGCCCATGGAAGCAGCATGGCCAGGGAAGGAGGAGAACATGTGCTCTCTCTCCCCGGAGTCCTGCAATCAGATGGCTGTGATGTCCCCTCAGAAAGGTAGGATTTGCCAAGCTAGCCAAGGGAGGAGCTGAGCTAGGGGCAGAGGCACTAGCAGATCAGGCACCAGCACAAGCATGAGAGCACATCCCTCTGAGAAGCAGTATTTTACATCCTGCTCTGCCCTGGATGCTGGGACTTCCTTCAGCTTGCAGGGAGGAGACATGGGTTGGGACCAGCCAAGCAGAGGGCAACAGTGCCCTGGGCAGAAGCACAAACCTCAGGCTCCTGTGTCCAGGGATGACAACAACCCCTTTTCAGGCTCCTGCAGGGCTCTGGCCCTCCATCCTTGCTGAATCCCAGCCCAGCATCTCCCCCTGCCAACATTCTCCACCAACACGCTGTGCTAAAGCTCAGGATCAGAGCCCCTCTCCAAAACCAAAGCAGCTGTCTTCCCTCTCTGCTAAATACCTGGCTCCCCTGCCTGGCCTGTGATCTTTTCCAGCTGCTATGGTCAAATCTGCCAAGGCCAGCAGTCTCTCTGTTAACCCCTTCAGCCCACTGCCTCATGGTCTGCAAGATTCCATGGCAAACATCACCAGCTCTGCAGGGGATTTCAGCTTCCTCATCCTTGAGAAACAAAGCTGGTTATTCCCCCAGAAGAGGTTTTATGCTGTTTTTTGAGAGCTGTTGGCTGCTCAGTTTCTGTCAAGGTTGTAGGTCTGATGTGGTCGCTCTCGCTAAGCCTACCAGCCTTTCTGCTTCAGGGGAGCTTGTGGAGGCTGAGAGGCCTTTTCACTGCAACTGGCCATAGGTTTCCAGTGAGCACTTTCCCAAGCAATCAGATCTCTTAGAAAATTAATTGATCTGTTCTTATTAGATCACCTACTTTACCTCCCCAGCTGCATGTTAAGGTTTCCCAGAGTGCAGGCAGGGCTGCTGCCACGTCCCCCTGGCACAGAGAAGATATCCAAAGCTCATCTCCAATGACAGCTTCTCACCTGTCAGATTTGCTTCCCTAGGGGTAAAAAGTTACCAATGGGTGAATCTCACAGGGCACAGATGCTTTGTAACCCAGACATCTACCATAAATTTTTCGACTTGATAGCTTGGGAATGCAGATAAGTATGCTGCAGTGATGAGCCAGAAAGAGCCTAAAAAGTTCCAGCTGAAAAGGGGTATGAAATACCTCAGAGATGTTGGCATTTCAATTTTTTTTTTTTTTTAATAAAAGATGTGAAAACATGAGCATTACCCACATGCCCTGGTTCCTGGCATGACACTTGTGGGACAGCAGGGACCAAGGCATGCAACATCCCATGGCATGTGCTTGGGAAGGAAGTGAGGGCTATGCCCAGTTCAGATTTTCATCTTCAGCAAGATGGCAAATCTTATATAAAACAGGCATGAATCAAAACAGAAGTGCCTGCCCAGCTGCTAGGAAGTGACACCACTGTGACTCATGTAATTCTGTTTAAAACAATCCTCCCCCTCACCTTCTCCCCTCTGTAGAGATGCACCTTGGAGGCTTTCAACACAGAGTCCAGGGGTGCTTACCCTTCTCTTCTCCCTCTTTATACCACTTTTTGGTCACAGTGTTTTTTCTCAGGTGACCTCTCCTGTCACCAAGCTCTGCCAGAGCACTTTTACAGTTCACTCCAAGTATAACAAACAGATTTCTTTTCCTGGCATGTTTTTTCTTTATTATTTTTTACACTCCATAAAAACCATTGCAGTTTTCTTTCACATTCACGAGATCTTCTGGAAATTATTGCCATTTCCCATACATATTACATATAAAAAAAAATAAAAAGGTCAACAGATAGAGAGCTGCTCGTTCTGAAATCCCTGCAAACACAGAAGCCAATGTGACCAGTTTTCATGGAGGAAGACTGGCTAGAAGGTGACCACATGTGCTAAGCAAGCCACATAACACTGAACAAGACCACTTGACCACATATGATACACGTCAGAAACATTTGGGAGGGATGGAGGAAGAGGTGGCTTGGAGCCGAGCTCGCCAGGTTTTTTTGGTGTAAAATCCAGCAGCTACAGTGTCATCTGATGGGAAGTAACTCGGATGAGGATTGTGGAGACATTCAAGTATTCTAGGGCTGTTCTTAAATAACAGATGGAAGGATAATAGCTCAGCAGGTAGCCTGATAGCGATAGCTTCGGTTAAGTCCCCTGCTTTAGTTAAAAGCACATCCAGTACAAAGGCAAACGCAGAGGTATAGGAAATGCCACACCTGAATGGATCCACGGTCTGATTTGGTATCCAGTTACACTGCGGTCAATACCTGACACTTCAGAGGCTGGGGAAGGAGAGGGGATTTTCACCTGGTTGTGCAACAGTGTCTTGGGAAAGGAGCTCCCTCCCGCTGCCCCAGCCTTTTGCTCCCTGAAACATGACACAGGAGAGGGAAGGAGGAAAGCCAGAGAAAAACCAGAACAAATATTCACTCTCACCACCTCTGCAGTTGAAAAGGTGGTGCTTTTCATTTTGCTTTCTTCCCTGCTGCTGCTGTTTATTGCTCGAAACTTTAAATAAGGGTCTATTCGAAAATAGGAAGGGAAGGAGATGGGAACTGAGAACATACTAAATGGATTTCTCATTGCTCCCCAGGAACCTGGAAATACAGTAGTGGGTGCACACTCTGTCAATAAAAACCTAAAAAAGCACTCTTTTTAAAAAAAAGAACAATAAAAGTTCAGAAAACCTGCCACACTTAGAGCATTTGCCTCTTACAGTCACAGCATACGGGAAGTATGACCCACGACAACCACTCCATCTCAGACTAAGTCGATGAGGTTTCTCTATTGCACGTTCATGAAATGTTCTTGTTAGGGTCACAGTTTGGA